CTACCAAATTGGATGATATGGTCAAAGTTCCCCATCAAATTGAAATAACATGGGAAGGGGAAAATTCAATACAAAAACTTATTCGTGACACATTTCCACATTTAGAATCTCATACATGGGATGCTTCTTATATGGTAGAAAGGGCCATACTAACACCAAAAAATGAGGATGTTCAAAAGCTTAATGACATTATCATCAACCATTTCCTAGGAGAATAAATGACTTGATTATATAGATATAAAAATAAGTACGAAAGAAAATTAAATAGCAAAATTAACCATGTTATTTTATCATTTTTGTTAAATATAAATTATTTTTAATGATAAAAAATATTTATTTTTTAAGAAATAAAAAAATGAAAAATGAAAAGATTTTCTCTCCCGTTTCCTCCCAATTTAGCAAGCCAGATTGTGGGTCCCAAGAAAATTCTCTCATTCCTTTTTTTCTTTTTTATGTCAAACAAATATTAAAAATGTGATATTTAGGTCTTATTTGGTCGTTGTTTTCAAAAATACTTTTCTATTTTTTTTTGTTTGCCCCTTGAATACATTTGGAAGAGCTTGTCTCCTAATTATATTTATACTTTTCGTAAAAGTTTGTCCTCCTAAGTTATTAAAAAGACCAATTAAAAAGATTTAAAATGAGAAACTGTTTCCTCATTGTTTTTTGTGTTTTGAGTTTCAAAAGGCTTATTTTGAAATTATTTTTTAAATAAAACATGCGACAAAATTGATTTTTCAATAATTAAAAAAATATTTTTAAAAAAGTTTGTAAATAAAAAGAAAAGACTCTTCCTCTTTTTAGTCACATTTAAGTCAACTTATTTTAATCTATACAATCACATTAATGTTAACTATATTAAAAGCATTTACAATATATGTATCTTATTTCATTTTATTAATTCTCATGCTGTTACATCACATTTAAGTAACATATTACAATTGTACTTCAATAATAAAGTTTTAAATTTCTTAATACTCACATTTTTTTAATTTTTATTTGTACTTAATTTTGTCTGATAAATGATTCTAGTAAAGAAATAACTTTTTATGTTAAAAATAATTGTATCTTACATAAGATATCGTGCTTAAAATTAATTAAGCAAATCATGATATCAATAAAAATGTCTTAAATGGAGAAAAAAAATGAATTTACAATATTTTAAGTTTAAGATACACTCATTGTAAGTGTTCTAACATCCTCCTCAAAGCTGATCTTAAAATAGTTAGTGATAATTTTGCATATTTAACATGCTAACCAACATTAAAATGAATTTATATGGTATTTTATTATATAAATTTAAATTAACATATAAAATATTTTTATGATTATTCATCAATTTGAATTAATAAAATAATGTATGAAATAATTTTTAAAATTTTTAAAATTTGTAGACTTAATCTATACATTGAAAATTTTTAATTTAATAGTTGAATTATTGTTAAAATTTAATATAAAATATGAGTTGCGATACTTATTTTTAGAATAAATAATCCTTTCTCTCTGTTTATATATATATATTCTCTTTTATTAAGCTAATTTCACGTGAATATATTTTAATTAGAGAAAATATGTTGAAAATATAATATTAATAAAAATATGTGTAATTAACACTATTTTAAATTATTTTTAAGTTATAAGTTATTTTCATAATCAGGAAAATTTAACGAGACAGGTTGAAAAAAAAAACTTATAATCATAAACTACTTTGATAAACTCTCCCAAATAATTATACATGCGTTTATGCCATAAGATAATTAAGTTCAAATAAGTTGTAAATAAATTCTTCAAAATACATCCTTGACAAGTGGAATCACTTTTGAGTTTGGACTTTTATTCAATCTTTGTATTTATTAAATTCTATAATCTCTTAAAAAAAGTTTATTTATCTCTTAAAAAAAAAAGTTTATTTATCAAACACGATTAATAAGGTCCGGCAAACTTTTTAGCTAATAAAAAGAAAATTAGAAATAAACTCAATATGTTTATCAATAATACACATATACATTTGTATTGAGACAAAATTTATGTCGAATAAGAACATTACATAGACTTAAAGTAAATATTGTAGGTTTTATTGTACGAGAATTATTAGTTACACTCTCTCCTATACTTTTTTAAATGCATATTTGATTTTTAATTAAGAATTATTAAGTTATAAAATAAGAAAAGAAACTTATTAAATAAGAAATGAGGACCTATAAAGTTAATGATTTACTATAAATTTCAAGTATATTGTTTGCATTTCTAATTGAGCTATTATCGTATTATTATAATATTTACATCAATTTAATCATGTTGAAAATCATTTATATTAATCTTATATTATTCTAGATCAGGGCTCGGCCCAACAAGAGCCCAATAAACTATTAACATTAACAAATTAAGAAAGGAGGTTATAACTTATAAGAAATCCTAAACATAGTAACAGTATGTTATTCTTTATCTCTGTCATGCCTTATCTGTGACTCTTACGTACTCTGACTTGGCGTGAAATTTCTTACTAGTTACTGGGTGTGACTGCGAAATGCCAAATACGTGATGAAGCAAGTACTCACGAGTTTACAAAGAACAAAACTCATTAAAGAATATAATATAAACTTTTATTTCTCTGATTAATATATTTTTTTTTTAATTTTCGGTCAGAGAAAATAAGAAGAAAAAAAAAACACTACGTAACGGACTCCCGCTATTTTTGCCTCTGAGGCGCACGCACAGATTTCGTGTTCTCCATAGTTTCTCACTTTCTCTCTCTACCCTCCTCCTCTCTTTCGTTTCATGGATTCTCCCTCTCGCTCCTCCGTCATCATCGTCGGTGCCGGTGTCTCCGGTGAGTACCGCCGCCGCCACAACTCTTCCTCTCTTTTCATATCATCTTTCCATATCAATAATAACGAGTTTAATTTTCCGTGTGAAATCAAGGTATCTCCGCGGCGAAGGTACTGGCCGAGAACGGCGTAAAGGACATCGTAATCCTCGAGGCTTCAGACCGCATCGGCGGCAGGATCCGAAAGGAAAACTTCGGCGGCTTCTCCGTCGAGCTCGGTGCTGGTTGGATCGTCGGAGTCGGCGGCAAAGAGTCCAATCCTGTTTGGGAACTCGCCGCCGAATCCGGCCTCCGAACCTGCTTCTCCGACTACAGCAATGCGCGATACAACATCTACGACCGCAGGTCCGCGAAAACGGTTATTTCCGTTATTTTCCATCTTGCGCCGTTTTCTCTATTATGCGCCGCGGCGGCAGGGCGCGCCTCCGCTTCCTTTAAATGCTAGCGTCGTTTTCCATTCTTTGCTTCTTTCTGCGCCTACTGCTCTGTTCTGTTACTCGTGTTTTCGGTTTGGTGTGTGAGTGTGTCTATATTAGTATATATTACCGTTTTGCTTAAATATCTATATAACTGAGTTTGTCACATGGAGTTCGTTGCAGTGGGAAGATATTTCCGAGTGAAATTGCTGCGGACTCGTATAGAAAAGCCGTGAACTCGGCAATTCAGAACTTAAATAACCAGGAAACTGATCGAAGAGCCGATAGCTCCAAAATAACCGAATCGGAATCACCTTTGTAAGTGCAATTGCTTGTGGTTTTCAGCCACAAAACGATTTGGTGAATGAATGTGGTGTGAGTGTGACCAGAGCGCATGAAGCATTTAATATTTTTTCTCATTTTGATTGATTTTTTTTTCTTTGCTTCGATTTAGGACGCCGTTAGAGCTAGCAATTGATTTCATCCTCCATGATTTTGAAATGGCAGGTCCGTTCACACTTCGGAAATCACCTATAGCTCTGAATTAGTGAATTGAATTAAATGTTGTTGATTCTTGCTAATTATGAGCTTTGCTTAGTTGCTTTATGGATGAAATTAGAAAGTGATTAAGTGAAAGTTTTGTATGCAGAGGTAGAACCAATATCTACATTTACAGACTTTGGCGAAAGGGAATATTTGGTGGCGGATGAAAGAGGTTATGATTATTTGCTATATAAAATTGCAGAAGATTTTCTGTTTACATCTGAGGGTAGAATAATGGACAGTCGTCTCAAACTTAACCAGGTAATGTTCCTTACCTGTTATCTAATTAGATTCTTTTATTCCTTTGTTTGGTGTTCTCAAAGATTTAAAGGTGCATACGCGCCGAGTCCATGGGCCCTCTGGTAGTAGTGGTGGGGTGGCGTAGCTTAGTGGTGGGTTGTCTCTTAGCTACCGTGGCTCTGTGCTCAATAGGTAACATGGTAGTGGTCTGTGGATGGGGGGAAATTGAAAATCCGTCTTTGTTTGCACGTACTGTTTTTTTTTTTTTGTTTTTTTATTTATTTTTTTATTATTATTTTTTATTACTAAAAGCTCGTTTGACGCACTTTTGGAACTTGGAGACAGGACTAGTGCTCAGGATACACTTGTCTATTGACTCATCTTATATATATATATATATATATA